CTCATGATGAGTATGGACTCTAACCCCTTACACGACTACTTTTGTCTATAAGTTGCCTTGGTCTTGGTCTTATCACACCAACAGAAAAGTAACTTAGAAAGAGGATTATATGGCACATTGGTAAGCTTAGATAAAGGGGTACAGTGACCCCAAGTCTATCTTCTTCTGGATGACAGGAACTTTGAGACTTAATTAACATGAGGAACCATGGAAAAGGTTGGCGTATACAGCCTACAAGGCATGTAATCTTGGACAAACATGTGGTCTTGCTAGGTGGTTAGAAATTACTAGGCTTGAGCTGGGCAGCATGTCCCAAGCCTGTAATCCCAGCACAGGGGAGGCATAAGTGGGAGGATTCCAGGGAGTTCAAAGCACATCTATTCTACATGGTAAGTTCCAGGCAATTCAAGACTAAATGATGAGACCCTGTCTCAAAAAACAAAACAAAACAAAAAAGAGCAGGGCATGGTGGCACATGCCCTGTGAGTTTGAGACCAGCGTGGTCTACAAAGAGAGTTACAGGACAGTTAGGGCTATTACACAGGAAAATGGGGGTGGGGTGGGCCGAGATTGGAGAGATAGCTCAGTGAATAAGAGTACTTTTATATAGGATCTGAGGAAATGGTGAAGGAAGACCCCAGACTGAAATAGTATATAACAACAAAGAGTGTTTATTATGCCAGCATGCATGCGGGGTCATTCACCTGTACAAAATGGCAACAACCCCGAGAGGAACATGCAGGCTCCTTTAAGCACAGCTAAGGGGAGTTTCAGGGACAGCTACATACTTGGTTAAGCAAGCAGCAGTTACATTAGTAGTTTTTAAATTGGCTGAGGTTTAATGTTATCATTTTTGGACACATCTGTACAAGCTTGGATGTGTCCCAGAAGAAGGCTGCTGGGTTTGTCCTTGAGATACTGTGAGGCTGACTTAGGCTCTCTATTAGTTCTCTCCCTCGACCCTGAATATAAGGGCCTTGTAGATAAAGGGCCCCTTGTTGGAAAAGACACCTGTTTTGCCTTTCTCAGAGAGCTGCAATTTAAATTCTTTTGTAAAAATTGGGAGGGTTTAACCCCTTTACTTATTATCTTGAGGAGGACTTCAGTTGTTTTCCCAGAATCTTCATGTTGGCTCACAATCTCCTGTAACTCTGGTTCCACAATCCAAACTCCTCTGGCCCCTTAGACACCTGGGATGCATACAGTGCATATACATAAAGTAAAAATGAATGAACATTAAAAGAAGAGAGGCTGGGCGTTGGTGGCACACACCTTTAATCCCAGCACTCGGGAGGAAGAGGCGTGCAGATCTCTGTGAGTTTGAGGCCAGCCTGGTCTCCAGAGCGAGTGCCAGGATAGGCTCCAAAGCTTCACAGAGAAACCCTGTCTCAAAAAAAAAAAAAAAAAAAAAAAAAAAAAAGAAAGAAATCAGTAGGCTTGAATATTATTGAAGATTGTCTTCTCCCTCATAATCAATTTAGGCTCCCCCTCCTCTGTCTGTGCTGATACAAAAAAAAAAAAAGATAGTAAAAGGATGGGGGAAATATCAAAATTGCCCCTCCATGAAATGTGAAATGCCATGTGAGATGGTAATTACAGAGTAGACAAAAGGGAGGCAGCTAGAAGTACAGGATTGAAACCCATTTTCCTCCTGGTAAAACTGTGCTATTTTGTTGTTGTTTATTTTTGTTGATGTTTGTGTTTTGCTGACAGGGTCTCATCCCATGCTGGTTTAGAAATTACTATGTAGTCCAGGATGGCCTGGAACCTAAAGATCTCCCTGCCTCAGCCTCCTCAAAGCCACACCCAGCTACAAGAATTCTTTGTTTGTTTTGAGACAAATTCTTTGTTTGTTCTTTGTTTCTCTGTGTAGCCCTGGCTGTCCTGGTTAATCAGACTAGCCTTGAACTCAGGGATCCACCTGCCTCTGCTGGGATTACAGGAGTGCACCACTAATGCCCGGCTCATAAAATTATTTCATTGCTATGTCATAACTGTAGTTTTGCTACTGTTATGAATCAGAATGTAAATATCTGATTCGCAGCACCCAAAGGGGTTTTGACCTACGTGTTGAGAACCACTGGTTAATATTCTGAATTATTATTATCTTAAGTTTATTACTTCTGCTAGCCAAAGACAGAAAAAAAAATACATAAATCAAGCCTTGATCATAATGGCTAGACTTCGATGCTGTTCTATGGTCCCTTTAATGGCTTTACCAGCCATCCTGTCTCCTGAAGATACTTTCCTGTCTGCTACTTAGCCTTGTCTCCATCAGATCCTAGGAATGAGCCATCCAAACAATAAGGGAAAAATTAGTATTTGGCTTCTGCCTGCACAAAATATGATGCTTCATCGTCTGGGGCATCTGGAATGATAGTTCCTGAAAGGGTGGCACCTTCCACTGAACCTTTTGAAAGACTGATTAAGTGATGAGAACGTCAGTGATTGTGGAGACTGGAATGTCGAAGGCCCAGAGCCTAATTACTGGTGGTTTTTCCTTGGGTCATCTTTATCATTTCTTGCTCACACCTGTGTGTCTGACCTTGCATCCTGTGATTAACTTAACAGGCCTTTGGCTTCCTAGCTCCCACCAACTTAAGAGGCCAAGTCTGTCACCAGATAGCATCAGATCTAAGAGCATAGATTTTCCTTTTTGCTGTAACTTATCTTCCATAGTTTGATTTGTTGTTGTGATAAGCACCAGGACCAAAAGCAATTTGAGGACAAAAGGGTTAATTTCAGTTTACAAGTTACAGCAAAGGGAAAGGAGCTCAAGGCAGGAGTTGAAAGATCATAGATCATGGAGAGAGGCTATTTGCAAGCTTGCTCTCTCTGGCTTGTGTTCAGCCAACTTTCTTTTTTTCTTTTGACTTTTTGAGACAGGGTTTCTCTGTGTAGCTTTGGAGCCTGTCCTGGCACTCACTCTGTAGACCAGGCTGGCCTCAAACTCACATGGATTCCCCTGCCTCTGACTCCTAAATGCTGGGATTAAAGGCTTGGGTTGCTACCACCACCCAGCCTAGCCAAATTTCTTTTATAGTCCAGACCCACTTGTCTAGGGATAATACCACCACAGGGGCTGGGCCCTCCTATGTCAACTAGTAATAAAGATTAATTAGCCAATCTGACCAAGGAATTCTGAGATGTTTCCACCAGTGTATTTGAGAGTGCCTTGGTTTATGACTTTATTATAATTTATGTGTTTTGCCTGCATGTATGTCTGTTCACTGTGTGTGTGTGTGTGTGTGTGTGTGTGTGTGTGTGTGTGTGCCTGGTGCCCACAGAGGTCAGAACAGGGTGTTAAAGACCCTGGGAAGGGGAGTTACAGAAGGTCTTATGGGTGCTGGGCATTGGACTTGAGTCCTCTGGAAGAGCAGCCAGTGCTTGCTCTTAACTGCTCATCTGTCTCTTTTGACCTCCTGACCCCCCCCCTTTTTTTCTTTCTTTTTTTTTTTTTTTTTAAAGGTAAAGTCTCATGTAGCTGAGGCTGGCCTCAAACTCTATACATGGAAGAGGACACCCTTGTATGACTTTTTTTCTTTTTTTTTTTTGAGACAGGGTCTCTCTATGTAGCCCTCGCTATTTTAGAGCTCCCTCTGTAGACCAGACTGGCCTCGAAGTCACTTCTGCCTCTGTCTATCAGGTGTGCACCACTACACCAGGCCTGACCTTGAACTTCTGATCTTCTTGCCTCAACAGACCAAGCAATGCTATCATAGGTGTAAGTCACCAGGTCTGGCTTATGTGGTGGTGGGGTTCAAATTCAGGGCCAACTACTCTATCAACTGAGCTACAATCCCCAGCCCTTGAATACACTTTTGCTGAAACCATATTCTATAGCATTTCATGGTGCTCATTGAAGAAAAAGAGGGCATGAGCATGGCTGGGAAGGTTTTTATGGTAGATATGAAGGAGTGAGGCATCTGGAAGGGTCTAGAACAGGGAGACAAGTAGTGGACTGAACATGGACAGCAGACCGAACTGGCCTTGAAAGGAGGGGGAGGGAGAGCAAGAGAGGGAGGAAGAAAGCGAGAGAGGGAAGGAGGGAGAGGGAGAGAGAGAGAGAGAGAGAGAGAGAGAGAGAGAGAGAGAGAGCAGATTGAGAAGCTGGGGAAGGAAGGGAAGCCTGTGGCTGGAGAGTGGGGGGCGGGGTGAGAGGCGCTGGGAAGACCCTGAGGAACTGGGTGAGCCTGGAGGCCTGCCTGCTTTGGGTATGCTAATAGGCACCATAGTTTGCATTCTTTTGGACCAGACACCCATCACATCACAACAGGGAGCTTTTGTTTTGTCAGTCTCCTCATACCAGGGTCACCAATTCTGAGTTGTTGATGTAAAATCATGGTCCTCCTTTTTTAAAGGAAATAAGAGTTTATTTTGTGCCAGTGTGACCACGGCCCGAGAACATGGGTTCAAGAAACCCTGAAAAGTGATCAGTTCCACTGTGGAGGAGGGCGGGTGAACCAATCAATCCCTGTCTCTTCTCCCTCAGCAGCCCGACCTAGAACTCATTATATAGCTCAGGCTAGCCTTGACATTTGATCCTCTCATTCTCTCCAATACTGGGGTTCCTGGCATGCACCACCACTTCCGGCTGCAACAACAACCCTCTCCGTCGGATACAGGGTCACACTATAGCCCAGGCTTGCCTGGAACTCTTTATGTAGCCTAGGTTAGCCTTGAATCATCTAGTGATGGGATTACAGGTCCTGGATGCTTATGACATGACCCAACATAGCTTGTTTGCCTCGGACCTTCCAAACATTTCACCTCTCCATACTCACAATGTACTGCCCGGCCACCATTAAACAGTCTACAGGATGCTTAATTCGGATAGGCTTTCTCCTCTCCTCGCTCCCTCTCCACACCCCACCCCCTGCAATTCCAAAGCCGTAGCCCCGCCTTCCTCTCGTGTTCGGCCCCGCCTTCCTCCTCCTCAGCCAATGAGTCACTGGCCCGTGGGCGGGGCCACTCGTTGACGTGCTGGGCGTCCTGCGAAGGGCGGGCCTTGTTTCCGGCTTGAGAAATCGTCGCGTTCCTGAGGCGACGCCTGAGCCGGCAGTTAGCCACCGCGCAAGCAGCCGCCCGGAGCGGTGGGTCTCGGCCCCGGCGTCACCATGGGGGCCGTGTTAGGCGTCTTCTCCTTGGCCAGCTGGGTGAGTCCCGAGGCCTGGGCCCTCCGGAACCTTGGGCGCGCGGGGAATGGCAGTCAGGACGCCCAAGGCCCGCCATTGTTTACAATTTCGACGCCCCGCCCCCGCGAGCCTTCCGGACCCTGGGTTCCGGCGGAACGGGAGGAGGACGCGCCACGCTGAGGTCCCGAGGCGGGGTTCACGAGTGGGTTGGAGGTGGCGTCATGAAATTTAGGGTCGCTGGAGTAATTTTCTCGTTCATAGCTCGGCATATGCCAGTGCTCTGCAGTGTTGGTTGGGGAAGGCATTTTTTTAAGTCAGCCCCACTGCATCTCGGGTGCGAAACTGACTGGCTGTGGCTGTACATTTAATTAGTAGCGCTGCGGCCTAAACATTTAGGGATTAAACAACCTAGCATTTCTCCCCTCTAGAGCTGTTGTGAGGAGAAAGTGAAGAAATGACCAATCACTTTGTCACTGTTAAGACATTTTAAAAAGTTAATTTTAGGATCTAGGAAAGAGACTACACCGAATAACGAATCGGTCTCAGAGGAGCATGGTACCTTGAACCAGTTCCCTAATTGTTTTCTTATTCCCGAACTGATGTAATGAACCAAGGATTCCGTCTCTGCTTCATGTCCGTGGCATTTTTTGGGGGGTAATGTCGCAGATATCTTGTTCATTTTCCCCCCGGACAGCATCATTTCAAGTTGTGTTTTATGTGAAATGGTGCAGTCCGGGCATTTATATCTAGAAACTGCTTGTATATTTTATTAATTAATGTTTTCCAGTGGGGTTAGTAATAAGAGTGGAATGAGGGAAGAAAATAATAGGAAATTAAAGGCTGTGGAGAGCTAGGCATGGCAGATCATTTATCTCAGCACTTAAGAGACCCTGTATCAAACAGGAAGGTTTAATCTCCCGACTGCCAGTACCCACCCCATCTCCCATTCCCCCTCCCTCCAAAGGGGTCAGGATATCAAGGAACCAAATCATGAAGATACTTACTGTTTTGTTTTTTGTTTTTTTGTATTTAAGATTGAACCAGGATTTTTTTTTTATGCTAAACGCATCTCTTGAGTGTCCCCTCGTTACACTCCCAGTCCCCAGGCTTCTCACTAATATCCTGATTTACCCACCAGAGTATGAGGATTACAGGTGTATGCTAGCTCGCCAGGCAAAGGATTTTAGCCTTTACTTTTTTTTTTTTTTTTTTTTTTTTAACTTCCTAGCCCAGGTTGGCCTTGAATTTGCAGTAATCTACCTAGTGCTGGAATTATAGGTGTGAGCTCCCACAACTGGCCTATGTTTTAACAAAATGCTTCAAATTATTATTATTTGGGGGACAGGATATCACTTTGTAGCCCAGTGCTGGGGTTACAGATGTGCGATACCTTGCCTGGCTTTTGTTTATGAAGACAGAGTGGGGTTGATATGTAATTCTTTTTACACGGGCATGAGAACTGGTTCTTCCCTAGCTTTAAAACATCCCTTTAAATGGGGATTTATGGCCTCCTCTTTTCTAGAAGTTGCCCTTTTAAGTCACTTGAGGGAGCCTCTGAGACTCGGTTTTTGCCTTGAGCAACAGAAAGAGTGGAGTTGTCCATATTCAAACAGGAAAAGACAGAGCATGTAGTAGACTGGGAGATTGCACAGCAGTTAACCGATTTCCTACTATGCAGAGGTGTGAAGTGCAACACTAGAAGTGGTCTTCCCCTCAAGGTGTTTATGACCTAGAGAAGCAGATAGGTGTAATGATTTCCTGGACCTTTATAGCGAAGTACCACACATAGGACTTGAGCAGCAGCAATGGGTGGAAGCTGCAGATCTAACATGGGGTTTCAGAGTTGTTGCCTTCTGAGTTTGATGGGAGAATATGTGTCTCTGCCTTTTGGGTTTGCTAGTGGTCCTTTTACTTTCGTTTCTTGCAGATTTGGGTTGAGGCCAATAATAGCCAGGATGTGAATAATCCATCAAAGACAGAAAAGGACAATAGAGAGCTTATTAGATACATTGTTCTATAGCTGCTGCAGGCAAGACAATAGAAGCTGTCAGCTATTCATTCTAAGGGGACTACTTTCATGGGGTGGTGGCTCAAATCTGGCAGACAGTTTCAGTGTAGTGGTGGTGCCCTGGGTGACTGACTGAGGTTCATTTCTTGATAGTTAGGCAGAATTTTTGTTATTTCCCTAGGAAATAAATTTTACAGGGTAGTTTGTTTGAATTGACTATCTATGCAGGGTAAACGGGTTACTGGGGGGTCAAGCTTCAAGCAGAGTCTGAACCTACTCATTAAAGAGTGGAGTAGACTGGGGCATAGTGCGCATGTTTTTGATCCCAGTACTCTGGAGGCAGAGATGGGCAGATCTATGAGATCCAGGCTAGCTCAGCCTGGTTTGTAGAGCAAGTTCCAGGACAGGCAGGGCTACATAGAAAGACCATGTCTCAAAGAGAGAGAAAGAGGAAGGGAGGGAGGGATGGAATTTGTTTTGTTTTTCAAGACAAGGTTTCTCTGTGTAGAAACTATTTCCCTGGCTGTCCTGGAACTTGCTCTGTAGACCAGGCTGGCCTTGAATTTACAAAGAGATCAGCCTGCCTCTGCCTCCTGTGTGCTGGGATTAAAGACGTTTGCTCCCACCTCCGGGCAGGAATGGCTTTTTTTACAGTGATATTTGGATGCCCTAAAAATAAATTGCAGCCAAAGCTTGTTAAGATTAACTCTTTCTGCTTCTGCTCAGAGGCAGGAGGGGCCATGCTCTCATCTCAGCCTACTTTGAGGCAAAAGCAGCTTTCTTCTGAGATTAGACTAGTTCCTCACAGTTCTGTCTTTGTACTGTACTGGCCTGTCTTTGGGTTTTAACAGGATACACCCTCAGCTGCAGCATTAAGAGCAGCACCTGGGCATATTCACTATGTTCCCTTTTAAAAGGGCCCTGCCCACTTCCCATCCTCTTGTCTGTCTGTCTGTCTGTCTGTCTGTCTGTCTGTCTGTCTCTCTCTCTCTCTCTCCCTCCCCCTCTCTCTCTCTCCCTCCCCCTCTCTCTCTTTCTCCCTCCCCCCTCCCCCCTCCGCCTCTCCTTGCCTTGTCTCTCTTCTTTCCCACTGCCCCTGTTCCTAGAAGCTGGTTTCCCCCTCCCCTTTTCCCCTAATAAGAAACCCCTCTGCTTGAACTCTTGTCACTCACCGCTTTTCAAAAATTAAAACAGTCTAAAACTTTCTGGCTTTGAACCTGTGTTGCAAATCAGTGTCTAAACTTCTTTTCTTTCTTTCTTTTCTTTTTTTTTTTTTTTTTTTTTTTTTTTTTGGTTTTTCGAGACAGTTTTCTCTGTATAACAGCTAGCTGTCCTGAAACTAGCTATGTAGACCAGGCTGGCTTCAAACTCATAGAGATCTACCTGCCTCTGGAGTGGTGGGATCAAAGGTGTGAACCAACACTGTATTGTTGAGACAGGGTCTCTCACTAGGTAGCTTTGGCTGGCCTGGAACTCACTATGTAGACCACACTGATCTCAAATTCATAGAGATCTACCTACCTCTACCTCACAAGTACTGGAATTAAAGGCATGAGCCACCATACCTGATAGTAATCATCACTTTGGGAGCTAAGGTTCTCAGTAACCAAAAAGTAGAGATATGTTTGTATTTCTCTTAATGTTTTCACACAAAATATGTTCCCTGTGAATATAATATTTTGGAAGCTTGTTGTATATCTCAAGCATTGTGTGGTGGGCTTCTTGTAGTAAAGTCTAAAGAACAATTTTTTATTTCTCCAGACGGTTTCTCTGTATTGCTTTGCAGTCTGTCCTGAACTCTCTGTAAACCAGGCTGGACTCCAACTCAGAGATCCTCCTGCCTCTGCCTCCCGGGTGCTGGGATTAAAGGTGTCACCACCACTGTCCAGCTGATGAAGGATGTATCTCATGGCCCATGGTACTCTTACAGGTTCCATGCCTCTGTAGTGGTGCATCATGTTTGCTATGCAGCTGCTGTCCCATCAGCAAGAATTCCACTGTAACTCGGCTCATCTATGCTTTTATTCTCATCCTTGGCACTATTGTGTCTTGTATCATGATGACAGATGGCATACAAACTCAGCTAAAGAAGGTAAGTAGAAGTTACAACATCTTACCATGTGTTTTTTTTAAATTAGTTTTTATGTTTTACAATTCTTTTACTGTTACTCAATCAAGATCACTTAAAATACCTTTAGAAGATTTTCTGTGTAGGAGTGTTCTACCTACATGTATGTATGTGCATCAAATGTGTGTCATACCTGTAGAGGTCAGAAGATGAGTCATGTACCCTGGAACTGGAGTTATGGATGGTTGAGAGCCACCAGATGAGTGCTGGGATCTGAACCCCAGTCCTTCACAGGAGGAAACCCTGGGTCATCTCTCCAGCCCCAGTAATTTAGGGCTTTTAAACATTATTGTTATAACTATTACTGTGAGATAGGGTTTCTTGTAGCCTAGACTGTCCTTCTAACCATGTAGCTTAGGCTGGCCTTGAACTCTTTACAAGATTGAATTACATGGTAATCCCAGTTCCCTTCTGGCCTTGAACTCTTGATATTCATGCCTTTACCTCTCAAGTATTGAGATTCCAGGTATGTGCCACCACACCTGGTTTAAATTATCTTTGGATATAGTCAGGACACAGAATATGAGGTGCTAGCCACATGTGCCTTTAATCCCAGCACTCGGGAGAGAGGCAGGTGTATCTCTGAGTTCAAGACCAGCCTGGTCTACAAGAGCTACTTCCAGGACAGCCTCCAAAGCCACAGAGAAACCCTGTCTCCAACCCCCCCCCAAAAAAAAAAAAGAAAGGAAGAAAGATTATGAGGTGTTAGTCCTCTTACAGACATAGAAGTCAGAATGAGCATTGTTGGGCTCTAGTCTTTTTTTTTTTTTTCATAGCTAAAAAATTCTGAGAAAATTGAAATAACCTCAGGAATGTGGATTAATGGAGAACCAAACTCATAGCCTCAAACTATTCTACCACTGAGCTACACCCTGTCTTCAGAGAAGGGCGTACTAAATGACCCAGGGGAATCTTTGGTTTTTTGAGACAGGGTTTTTCTGTGTAATAGACCAGGGTGGTCTTGAAGTCACAGAAATCCTGCCTGTGCCTCCCGAGTGCTGGGATTAAAGGCGTGTGCAACCAACACCCTTCCGCACAGCAACTCTTACAAAGGAAAACATTTAATTGAGGTGGCAACTTACAGATTCAGAGTTCAGTCCATGATCATGGTGGCAGGGAACATGCTGGTGTGCAGACAGACCAGGTGCTGAAGGAGGAGCTGAGAGGGTCCAGCATCTTACAGGCAACAGGAAGTCAACTGAGACACTGGGCCTTATGCTGAGCATAGGTTACTTCAAAGGCCACCCTCCACAGTGACACTTGTGGATTAGTGTCACTCTCTGTGAGATTATGGGGGCCAAATACATTCTAACTAATGTGTACAAGTGTTTTGCTTGCATGTGTGTATATGCCTGATGCCTTTGGAAGTCAGAAGAAGGCATTGGCTCTCCTGGAACTGGAGTTATTGCTAGACAATTGTGAGCAGTCATGTGGGTGCTGGGAACTGGATCCTGGTCTTCTGCAAAAGCAACAAGTGCTCTTTATGACTAAGCCATCTTTCCGTCCCAGCTTTTGTTTTTTATTTTATTTATTTTAGTTTTTGTTTTTCAAGACAGGGTTTCTCTGTGGCTTTGGAGGCCGTCCTGGAACTAGCTCTTGTAGACCAGGCTGGTCTCAAACTCACATAGATCCGCCTGCCTCTGCCTCCCGAGTGTTGGGATTAAAGGCGTGCATCACCACCTCCCGGTGCTTTTGTTTTTTAAATATGAGTTTTTTATTTTCTTAGGTAATAAGATTGAAGTCGATTGGGGAGAGAGAAATTTCAGTTCTCAATCTTAAAAAATTGCTGAAGCGGTCTGTCTCTTTTATAAATCCTGCTTCTGGAGTAAGATAAGCATTGCTGCAGTGTTGATATTCTCATGGCATTGAAATTCCTTGCCTCCTCAGATTCCTGGATTCTGTGAAGGAGGATTTCAAATCAAGGTGCCTGATATAAAGGCAGAGAAAGATTGTGATGTGCTGGTCGGTTTTAAAGCTGTATATCGGATCAACTTTGCTGTGGCCATCTTTTTCTTTGCCTTCTGTTTGCTTATGTTAAAAGTAAAAACAAGTAAAGATCCCAGAGCAGCAATACACAATGGGTATGTAAGATTGTCTTTCAATATTCATGGTTCCTCACCTATATTGCTATTTGAATAGAAGCAATGGAATAATTAAACAGTGGTTAGATGTATACATGAAAGATCATTTATTGTTTTTGGGTGGTTTTTTTCTTCGACAGGATTTCTTTTTTTTTTCTTCGACAGGATTTCTCTGTGTAGCCTTGACTGTCCTAGAACTCTGTAGACCAGACTGGATTTGAACTCACAGATATCCTGCTTCTGCCTCCCGAGTGCTGGGATTAAAGTTGTGCGCCACCACTGTCCAGCCTATTTATTGTAATTTTTTGGGAGCATTCTTTCAGGTGCCTATATATAGTACCTTGTAAAATAGATCAAACACAATGCTTAGACACATTTTTTTTTCATTTATAGATAAGCATGTACTTGAGACACATACAGTCATACATGAGCACACACATAGTATATAAGAAACAGTTTTTATTTATTTATTTAATTTGGTTTTTCGAGACAGGGTTTCTCTGTGTAGCTTCGGAGCCTATCCTGGCAATCACTTTGGAGACCAGGCTGGCCTCAAACTCACAGAGATCTGCCTGCCTCTGCCTCCCGAGTGCTGGGATTAAAGGCGTGCGCCACCAATGCCTGGCAAGAAACAGTTTTAAAAAAAGAAAAAAAAAAGAAAAATATTATTCTCTTGCTTCCCCTTTCTGACCACAGTTCCTCTTTCACATAAATTTCTCAGTTGGAAGCTGATGGGAGCTTTGTAAATGTTGTATTTGTTATAGATGTAGTAACTAAATTTCAGATAAGCTAAATATTTTGCCTAAGATGTTTTTGCTGGGAAAAGGTTGAAGATAGGATTGAAGTTGATGTATGTTCAGTTCTCAAAGCTTGATACTTCATGTTCTGTCATGCAAGCCACATTGGTTGGTTGATTGCTTTGGTTATTTGAGACAGGGTCTCATCAGCCAGTCTGGCCTTTGAAGTCTTGATCCTCTTACCTCCATCTCCCTAGTAAGATTACCAGTTTGACTCAGGTCAAGACAATAGTAAAGGTTATAGATTGAAAGTCAGATTTGGTTCTGGCCTTTTTGCTAATGAGCTCTGTGATTATAGACAAAGTCTTTTAGTCCTATTTTGTTTTTTTTGTTTGTTTTTAAATATCTGTTTTTATTTTATGTGCATTGGTGTTTTGCCTGCCTGTGTAAGGTTGTTGGATCCCCTGGAACTGGAGTTACAGACAGTTGCGAGCTGCCATGTGGGTGCTGGGAATTGAACCCAAATCTTGAACCTCCTTCTGTCCTATTTTGTAAATGATGAATTGGTGGGTAATTTCTTTCGTAAATGTAATGATTAATGACTTTCCATGTAGCTAACTAACACTGTTAAAACTTAAAATTCTAGAAAAGGCATTACCTTTATGTGCTAAAAGTAAGAAAACTCTGAAATTTACTCATGTGAATGACTTCTCTTGCATTCCAGCTGTTAGGTTATAGACCCTCTATCTGCCTTTTCTCATGGAAATCATTCCACTCCACCCACCCCCAGCTCTCACCAGAGTTAATAATCAACATGTGCTGTGAGCTTACAGCTCTTACAAAGTTCCTTCTTCCCATTTGTAAGCTACTAGCAGGCCAAACCACCCTTGAATTACACATTTATTTTTATCTAGTGCCATCCTGCCTTGTGACGACTAGCCCCTATGCTAGGTCACACACACACTGTGTATTGAAGCAACCCCTCCAAATTCTCCAATAACCCACCCTTTTCCAGGAATTTTTCCTTAAGGATCTCATCATAAGATGCTGTAATTCTTCATATTCTCAGGGAGCTGAAGGGAATTGAAGGCCTTTCCCCTTCAGGACCCTCATCTATCTCTTCATGGCTGCCTGTGGCTATGATGGTAACTCTAATAAAGCTCATATGAAGGGTTATTTGTCTCAACTTTCTTTTTATTGGACCAGTCAGTATAACATTGTTTATAATATATGTGTGTGTGGCAGTGGTGGTGAGAGTGACCTTTAGGCCTTGCATGTCTGGGCAACCATTCTACCGCTGAGCTACATCCTCAGCCCCCTCCATTCTACCGCAGATGTCACAAGCCCTGGTTTAATATGTTTTGTATGAAATATTGAGTAGAATAGACTTGGGTCAAACAAAGAAACAATCTTAGACATTAATGTTTTAAATGCTTAAATTTAGGCTTTATTTTTATCATCAGAAATGCATTTTTTTCTCAGTGTAAAATAGAGGTTAGCATTTCTCCTAACCCTGTTTTTGTATTTTAATAGTTTTTGGTTCTTCAAAATTGCTGCCATTATTGGTATCATGGTTGGATCTTTCTACATCCCTGGGGGCCATTTTACTTCAGGTATGACTTACTGCTGAGGGGTTGATGTGTACAACTCTGGTGTTTTAAGAGCTTGTGTTTCTGTTAGTGATTTTTATAGAACTGGCCTTTAAGACATGGTGTCCAGTTGTATGACTACATATTAGGGCACTGATGGATTAAAACCAGGAGGTATTTTTAGACCACTTCTCAGCTTTTCTGGAACTGTGTGTTAATTTTGTACTATTTAATCTTCTTATTTGGTGAGGAAAAGCCATCAAAGAGCTTGTCAACATCAGAATGTAACACTCCCATGCTGCCTTCCCCCCCATCTTAATTTGCTTCTATGACATGGCAGCAGTGATATCTGACAGTTTCCTATGTGGTTCCCCCAGCTCCCTAAAAGTAAAGGGAATGTCTTTTTTGTTTTTTAGTTTTCTTTTTTTCTTTTCTTTTTTTTAGTTTTGTAAGTCAGGGTTTCTCTGTGCAACTACCATGGCTGTCCTGGAACTTGCTCTGGAGACCAGGCTGGCTTCGAACTCACAGAGATCCGCCTGCCTCTGTCTCCCAAAAGCTGGGATTAAAGGCGTGAGCCACCAACGCCTGACTCTTTCTTTTTTTAAAAAGATTTTATTTATTATGGATACAGTCTTCTGCCTATATGCCAGCAGAGGGCACCAGATCTCATTCAGGGTGGTTGTGAGCCACTATGTGGGAATTGAACTCAGGACCTCTGGAAGAACAGTCAGTGCTCTTAACCACTGAGCCATCTCTCCAGCCCCGTTGGTTTTGGTTTTCTGAGACAGGGTTTTCTCTGTGTAGGGCTGGCTGTCCTGGAACTCACTCTGCAGACTAGGCTATCCTGGAACTCAGGGCTTTGCTTGCTTCTGTCTCTTTGAGTGCTGGGATTACAGGCGAACAGGTGGATTACCACCGCCTGGTTTAGGAAAAGTCTCACAAAGTTATGTGAGGTTTAGTGAAGTGACTGAATGATACCATTTTTTTTTTGATTTTATTTATTATGTATACAACATTCTGTTTCCATGTATATCTGCACACCTGCACACCCGCACAGGGCACCAGATCTCAAACAGATGGTTGTGAGCCACCATGTGGTTGCTGGGAATGGAACTCAATGACCTCTGGAAGAGCAGTCAGTGCTCTTAACCTCTGAGCCATCTCTCCAGCCGCTGAATGATACCATCTTGTCCTAACTCTGTTTTGTGTCTGCCTGGGCACTCCTCAGTCTTCCATTCCCCAATAGCCAAATCTACCTTGGCAGTGCATTTGGACTATCTGTGACCCTGACCATGGTCCGAATGTGTTAACCAAAATCATTTTGTTTGTGCAAACTAAAACAAAACTTAAATAATTAGAGGAAGTGTAAATAGAAAATAATTATCATGTGGTATCTGGAAGATAGTGCTAAGCTCTGCTAAAAGACCATGTTACTCAACCCCACTCAAACACTGCACTTGTGGTTTTTGTCTTTAAAAACAATGTACCCTTGAGCTTGAGCACCAGAAGACATTTTGAAGGCATTAGCCTACTCTTGGTCTGGCCTTTTTTTAAAGGACTTGTACTTTTAACTGCTGTTGATAACTATGTCTCATGGATCATTTCACCAGGCTCCCTTTGATACAATCTAAAACAAGTTTTAAAGGTCTCAAGGTAGAAGGCACTTGCCACAAAGCCTGATGATCAGTCTGGGTCTCACCATGATGGAAGGGAGGGGATTGTCTCAAAGAAATTATTCTCTGCTGTCTATCTGATGCACACAGGTAAAATGCTTCTAAAGGCGTGAATTGCAACTGACATTCCTCAAAGAACACCTGTGAGTTTGAAATGATAATAGTCATACTGTACTGCTGTAGACAGAATGTCTTCACTGCCTCACTTACTAGAGTTGAAGTCTGCTCATAAAGTTCAGTAGTCATTCTGAGATGTTACTCTTATGATGAAGAATAATTGTTCTTTTTGTTTACAGTCTGGTTTGTTGCTGGCATGATGGGGGCCACTTTCTTCATCTTCATCCAACTGGTGCTCTTGGTAGACATGGCTCACTCTTGGAATGAATCATGGGTAAATCGAATGGAAGAAGGAAACCCAAGGCTCTGGTATGCTGGTAAGTGTCCAAACTCACTTCCAAGAGTCATACTTGTTAACCTTAAGTAGGAGTATATTAAAACCTCCAGTTTTAAATATTCAAAGTCAATCAATGTAGGGCTTCCTTTTTAAAAATTGTGTGGGTGGGTGGGGGTGTGTGTTTTACCTGATTTTATATCTGAACCACATTTGTGGAGTGCCCATGAAGGCCAGAAGAGGGCATTAGATTCCCCTAGGACTTAAACCCATGCCCTCTGGAAGAACAGCCAGAAATGTTCTCCAACCCCTATAGCTTCCTTTTAAAAAGCTAGTTTGTCAGTTAATTATGAATTGTGTGTTGCTGGAAGGTGAGCATAGTACATTCAGTCATTGGACTCTCAGTTCATAATATAACTGCCTCTGCTGAGATGCTACACAAACATTTTTTTTGATTCAGGTTCAATTATACAGCTAATTAATTATCTATGTGAATGGAAAGGCACTGTTTTCCCAGACCAGGGAGATTATCTCATTATTTGTGATGGGAGCCAGGTTTAAGGAGCCAGTGGCTGAAGAATAAAATTGTCTCAAAAAGGGCCTGTTTTGTTTGCTCCAGATGTCATTCATCTCTGGCATGAAGTTCCTGTCAGCTGTGACCTTGTTTGTGGAGAGGAGCTCTGTGTAACTCAGGCTAGCCTTGAACTTGTGATCCTTTAGCTGGTTGGTTTTAACCAGTTTTACAGGTGTTCACCCACCTCACCTGGTCCTGAATTATGCCATTGAAAGACCAGGAATCATCTAGAAAAGATTATGTACATATTTAATATGTAATTCAGAGATTACTCAAACTGAAATCACCAAATATTTTTGAATGAACCCATGAAACCCAGGTTAGGCAATCCAGGTTGTAAGTTTATTTACTTAAAAGTGGATTTTGGAGTTAAATGGTGAATAATTTTAAAACAATATGAAACTTTAATCTTGGGGCATCTCAGATTTTCCTGCAGTTTATTGCTCACCATAGGAATGAATTAAGTCTCTTTACTTATATAGCCTAGAGGAAAATTGATCTTAATTCTAGCCATTTATTTGGATGGTGGACATTCATACCTTTTTCCCCTCCTCCAGCTTTGCTGTCTTTTACAAGCTTGTTTTATATCCTGTCAATCATCTTTGCCGTGTTGCTCTACATCTTCTACACCAGACCAGATGGCTGCACAGAAAATAAGGTTTTCATCAGCCTTAACCTGATTTTTTGTGTTGCAGTTTCTATTGTATCCATTCTCTCCAAAATTCAGGTAAGATGGTTTTCTGTTTTCTCTTGTGAAGCTTAAATTCCAGGCAGTGTTTAAAGTCAGGGTCTCCTGTAGCCCAGGCTGGCCTTGGACTCTGCTTCCCCCTTGCTAGTGCTGGAATTACAGACATGAGCCACCAAGCTCAGCTTTCATTCTAAGAGTAAATGGGGAGATGACTTAGTGGATAAAGCACCAAGAACAGGGACCTGAGTTCAGCTCCCCAAAGCTCATGTAAAAAGCTGGGCGTGGTAGTTGTGTCTGTAATCTATTTTCCTACTGTGAGATGAGGTGGAAACTTGTGACCAGCTAGCCTGGGAGATGTAGTAAAGATGCAGAAAACAAGGCAGGGACTGACAACCAGTGTCCTCTGACCTCAAAACACATACCAAGACATACATCTGTCCTTATTCACACTCATGCATGTACATATCATATATATACACAACATACACACTTTTTTAAAAAATGATAAGGAGTCTAGAGAAATGGCTCAGCAACTGGCAGCAAATATTGCTCTCCCAGGGGATTCAATTCAGTGCCCAGATGCCACATCACCTACCTCTAAGGGCACTCACACACTAGTGGCATGCGCTCACTCGGACACTTAAACACGCATGATTGAAAGTAAATCAGAAGAAAAAAGTACTAGCCCAAACCTAGGAGGTTGAAGTGGGAAGATTTCTGTAAGTGAAGGCCAGTCTGGACTACTACAGCTCTGAACCGAAGGAAGAAGAAAAAAGACAATTTAAGAGAATTATTTTAAGCCAGGCAGTGGTGGCGCACGCCTTTCATCCCAGCACTCAGGAGGCAGAGGCAAGCGGATCTCTGTGAGTTCAAGACCAGCCTGGTCTACAAGAACTAGCTCAAGGATAGCCTCCAAAGCCACAGAGAAACCCTGTCTCGACACCCCCCCCCCAAAAAAAAAAATAAAAAGAACATTTAAATTGTGAGGAAACTTAAAGTATGGTTGGATATACCTGTAATACCAGATAAGCTTTTTTATTTTTTCTTTTCTTGTCTCCCATCCAAGTGCTAACCAGGCCCGACCCTGCTTAGCCTCCTAGATCAGATGAGATTGGGTGCATTCAGGGTGGTATGGCCGTTGACTTGTTTTTTTTTCCCCCCAAGATTTACTTATTATGTATACAGTGTTCTGCATTCATTTATGCCTGCAGGCCAGAAGAGGGCACCAGATCTCATTACAGATGGTTGTGAATCACCATGTGGGTACTGGGAATTGAACTCAGGTCCTCTGGAAGAGCAGTCAGTACTCTTAACCTCTGAGGCATCTCTCCAGCCCCTTGTTTTAGTTTCTTAAAGTCAGAAAATGGCAGGGTTTGTGGTACATCCCCGCTGTCCCAGCTGCTTAGAAGGCTGAAGTATGACAATTAATCCCTTAAGAATTAGAGGTTAGTCTAGAAAACCATAGTGTGGCCTTTTCTCAAGAAAACATGACGTGTCTGAGATGGCTCAGGTAATAAGGGTGCTTGCCAGATGACCCCAGTGTCATCCCTGGAACCCATAGTGTAGAACTAACTTCTGATCATACTTGAGGTCCCCCTCCCACCACACACACAGAATAGATATATAATAATATTTTTAAAAGAGCATTGAGGGCCTGGGGTGTGGCTTGGTTGGTTGGTTGGTAGAAGCTTGCACAGTCTGCACAAAGCCCTGCGTTTGAGCTCAGCACCGGGCAAGGTGCTGCACACTTTAGTCCCAGCATTCAGGAAGGATCAGTTAATTATTTTTGTTAGTTCACATTTAATTACTAGCTGGACATGATACATCTTTAGTCCTGGCAGTGCTGGAAACTGGAGTAAGATTGTGTTGGGGAAACAATATCCAGAAAAAAAGAAAAACAAAACAAGTTTCTAAGAAGTGGGAGGCCACCTAGCTGTTATGTGGTAGAGCTGAGTGGACATTTCTTCATATAAAGAGTCTAGAAACTGAAAGCCTTTGCGTGATAGATATAAAGGCGGTTTCAAGATTGTGAAATGCTTTGCAAACCAGCAGTAGATGCATCTCTTTATTTTCGTTTTTCAAGACAGGGTTTCTCTGTGTAACAGCCCCGACTGTCCTGGAGTCAGGAACTATCTCTGTAGACCAGGCTGGCCTGGAACTCTAACTCTACAGAGATCTGCCTGCCTCTGCTTCCAGAGTGCTGGGATTAAAGGCATGCGCCACCACAGCATGGCTGCATTATCTTTCTTATTTTCTAGACTAACTGAACCTGAAGGGGTATCTGTCCTCTTTTAACTGTCAGGAAGAATAAGGTTTTTAAATTTCTAACAATTCAGTGCTTCCCAGGGAGGCATGCAGACTTTCAGAAAGTCATTGCTTACAGATCATGTGACATTGTTTTGTCTGGATTTCCTAGGAACATCAGCCTCGTTCTGGCCTCCTGCAGTCCTCCATCATCACTCTGTACACCTTGTATCTCACGTGGTCGGCCATGACCAATGAACCTGGTAAGGGAGTGCCATAACTCACTGACAGTGTCCCTGTGGGGGGTATACAAACAATAAAACACTTGGAAATGGCCAGTGTTCACAGTAGATTTAAGTAAGTGACGTAAAACTAGGGATGTGCTTCTGCTGGGAAAACCTGAGCACAGTCTCTTAAACCACACAAAACCAATGTAGTCAAAATAGACATTTATAAAACTTGAGAAACCTAATTTTTCTAAAGCTAGATCATTGGGTAAGACGTAAATACTGTATTGCCTACTGAGTTTCGGGTTCTTCTAAGCTTAACTTTCCTGTGTTTCACAATACACCTCTGATTGCTCATTGGAACAAGAGTGAGCTCTAACTAATGATAATAAAACATTTCCATTTTCAGACCGTTCCTGCAACCCCTCTCTTAGGAGCATCATAACACATTTAACCTCACCCACTGTGTCTCCAGCAAATTCAACTACTCTTGCTCCTGCCTCTACTCCGTCATCACAGAATGGACACTCTATGAATTTGGATGATTTTGGGGGGTTGACTATCTTTGTTATCTGCCTTATATATTCTAGGTAAGTTCTAAGTAAGGGTACTTAATAGAAGATTCTCATGAAAGTGAATAATACATTATTTTTAAACCATGCTAAAGAATTAATGCAGCTCCTTTTAATAAAAAGTCCTTTCCATGTCTTTGCTTTACCCAGCTGAGTATATTTCTTAAAGTTTAGAAAAATCCAGCCAGGCTTGGTGGCACTTGCCTTTAATCCCACCACTCAGGAAGCAGAGACAGGTGGATCTCTGTGAGTCTACAGAATGAGTTCCAGGACAGCCAAGGCTACACAGAGAAACTTGGAAAAAAAAAAAAAAAATACACTAAAAAGAAAGTTCAGAAAATCCTCTCATAATTCCTCCTGGTTTTATGGTGGTGTACCTCCTTTGCATAGAAGGATAAAAATCTTCACTTGATTTTTGATAAGCTGGAAATTAGGATACTGAGAATTATCTTTTGGAAAAAAAAATACAGTGAATTTAGGGCAGAAAGTGTTAAGAGTATATGGTACTTCCTAATATAAATAAGGAAAAAGAATAAGTTCTTGGGGCTAGAGAGATGGCTCAGCGGTTAAGAGCACTGCCTGCTCTTCCAAAGGTCCTGAGTTCAATTCCCAGCAACCACATGGTGGCTCACAACCATCTTAATGAGATTTGGTGACAAACATTGTACATATAATAAATAAATAAATCTTAAAAAAAAAGAATAAGTTATTCTTTTTCCTTATTTATATTAAGTAAAAAATTGTAAGTTTAATAGTTCCTAGTACAAAATCACAGATATACTTCATTTGTACCCATCCACTCATTTCATTTTTCCATATAATTGATTATATTAGATTAATATTTATCTAATTTAAAGTAAGGAATATTCAAAATTAGCCAAGATAAAATTTTAGTATTGTAAGTTGGCAAAATAAGAATGACCACATATAAAATAGGAAATTGGAATATCTACTTTTCAATCTACTTTTAACATTTTGTTAACATTTTGGTACATGGTATTTTAGTCATTTGTCATTGTAGTTTAAGTAGCCTTCTACTTCATGTACAGACTAAATTTTGTTTTTGTTTTTATTTTTTGAGACGAGGTTTCTCTGTGGCTTTGGAGCCTATTCTGGCACTTGCTCTGTTGACCAGGCTGGTCTCACAGAGATCCACTTGCCTCTGCTTCCCAAGTGCTGGGATTAAAGGCATGTGTCACCAACGCCCGGCCAGACTTAATTTTTTTAAACATTTTATTTTGTGTGTATGTTTATTGAGGGAGCAACAGTTGCACCATGGTTAAGGATGAAAATTGTTAATGGACAACTTGTGGGACTTGCATCTCTCCTTCCACCATGTGAGTCCTGGGCATTGAACTGAGGTTATGGGACTTGGCAGCAGGCTTTTTTGTTGTTTCGTTTTTTCAAGACAGGGTTTCTCTGTAGCTTTGGAGCCTGTTCTGGAATTTGCTCTGTAGACCAGGCTGGCCTCAAGCTCACAGAGATCCGCCTGCCTCTGCTTCCCAAGGGCATGCGCCACCACTGCCTAGCTGGCTCAGATTTTTTTTTAAGATGGCCTAGAGTAGGGATTGTTAAGCTGGCTGGCTACTTTTCGGCCTTTGGTTGAGATCAGAGCTCATGTCCATGCCAGCCCCACACTTGGTGTATAGCTGGGGATGAGCTAGAATTGGTTCTCTAGCCTTCACCTCCCAAGTGGGTAGGTGTGTGCCCAAGCAATGTGCACAGCTTTCAGGAGCCGGGCCTCTCCTTCCCACTCTGCATTCTAAGGGTTAGATTCAGGTTGTCAGTGTTTATGTGCTGAAATTTTTGTTTCATTTATTTATTTATTTTTCTGAGACAAGGTTTCTCTGTGTATCCCTGGCTTTCCTGGAACTTGCTTTGTAGTCAAAGCTGGCCTGGAATTCACTTAGATCCAAGTGCCTCTGTCTCTCAGGTTTTGGAGCTAAAGGCACCCCACACCCAGCCTGTTGGTTTGTTTTTTTTGTTTTTTGTTTTTTTTTTCTTCAAAGTCCTGTAGCCTAAGGTGACCTTGAATTCTTCATTCTTCTGAGTGGTAGGATTAGAGACATGTGCCACCACTCTGAGTGCATTTGTTTTATTATCTAAAATGACTTTATGTGTGTATGTTTGTCCACTCCCAATCCTCCTATATCAATCAGCCTTCTGAATGTTGGCATTACAGGTCCACTATGGTGTAACCTTACCTAGATGTAGGCCAAAGGCATTATTTCATCTAAAATGGCTCCCTTTTGATGTGATTTTCTTGGGATTACTTTCCAGCATCCGTACTTCAAGCAATAGCCAAGTTAACAAGCTGACCCTCTCTGGGAGTGACAGTGTTATCCTTGGTGATACCACCAATGGAGCCAGCGATGAAGAAGATGGACAGCCTCGTCGGGCTGTGGATAATGAGAAGGAAGGGGTGCAGTATAGCTACTCCTTCTTCCACTGGATGCTCTGCTGTGCTTCCTTGTACATCATGATGACCATAACCAGCTGGTACAGGTAGGAGACATAGGGAAAGGCAGAAGAATACTCAGCCCCTGGGAATGCCTATAAATCTGTGTGAATTGTCCTTAATGCGGAGCCCTTCTCCCTCAGAATGAAGCTGTCTGTATTCAGTGTCCTTTGCTGGAGTCCTTTTTGTTTGTTTCTTATGGTCTAGCTTCAAACTTTCCATTGTTCTGGTTCTGCCACAGCCACCTAACTCCTGGGATTAAGAGCATGTGCCAACATGTCCTGATTGAAATAGAACCCAGGAGGAATTCTTTGCAGTTCAAATTATTGGTTAACTTTTCTAGATGAGTTATTCAAGAAAGAAAATCATAGCATAAAACCATTCAGCCTGACAGTGATAATTTTTTTCCTGTGCTTTTAGAGAGGCCATATTAAAGTATTCTGGTCAAAGTAATAATGTCCTAAGCAGAGACCATGTCAGGGAGGCTATTTCCATTTTGCTGGTAATTAGAGTAAGTAATTCAGATGGTACATAAGAACCTCCTTGGAAGAAGTTAGGTCTTTCCTGTTAGCAAGAAGGAAATGCTGTTTGAGAGGCAGTCTGTTGGCCATAGTAACTGAAAGTAGCTTCTCAAGTCCCTACTAGGACCATACTAGGGTTAAGGTAGCAGCTAAGTCTCCCTGGGGGGTTTCTTGGCATTGGCCAGGGTGAGTGGAATGGGAGGGATTCTGATTTGCAATATTAAGTGCTTTTTCCCCCTGCTCTGGTTTTCTTAGTCCTGATGCCAAGTTCCAGAAAGTATCCAGCAATTGGCTAGCTGTGTGGGTCAAAATGGGCTCCAGCTGGGTGTGCCTCCTCCTGTACCTCTGGACTCTTGTGGCTCCACTCATCCTCACAGGCCGGGACTTCAGCTGAGCTTCCAGTGCCAAGGACACTGCTAAAGCTGACAGTCTCCTTTGCTGAAGATGCAGGTCCATTCAACGTTTCATCAACTAAACTATTAAGTGAACGCTTTG